TAGTGCTTGAAGTCTTGGAAAACCAACCGGACTATAACAGTGCATGCGGTCATTTCGTCGATAATGCAATCAACAGGTGATACATTTAACGTTCGGAGCGGTTCCTGCATAGTTGTGAAGACTGACGGCACGGTCCCATCTAAGTACCTTGCACTTTAAGAGCGCAAATTACATACCGAAGTACTCAGCGCTTGCATATCGACTGAGTCTGATACAAGAGTTCTGTATATTAGCTTATAGAATTTAAATCATCGTCGTTCTTATTTGCCTTTATAGTTGGCTGTGAATTCTATCCGGCCGACCATTTGAAAAGCCGTTTACCATCGTTCACAGGAGATTGTAATATTTATTATCCCTTTGCCTTGCTTAGACTTCTGTCGCCGAGCTAACTCATGTAAATTGTCTAGCTTTCTTACCTGCCTTTTCGTTACAATCTGCTTGCCTCAGGTTTCATGGCTCATTGCTGTCACATCCGATTCGCTGTACTGGACCACTGCTTCTTGTGTGCGGTTTTTCTGTGACAGTTTCCCAGACAGCACATTCTTCTCGGACATCGACAGTTTGTTTTGAGAGGTTTGGTTGATCCGTTTTTGTGGTCCGGTCCCCGCTATTGGCATTACGAGATGTGGTCAACTGAATGACTTCCGTCTCTTGTAATCCGTTAGCCGACGCATTTAGGAAGATCGAAACAGACTACCAGTAATATAGTCGGCTGAATTGCGCCTGCTTATTGATGGCCCTTCCTCCGGCATCCTCCGCAACTTATTTGGTCATGTGCTCTGGGTCTGTTGTTCTGTTTTCTGATACTTTTGATGCCCGTCATTGCAGGTGCCTGCATTCTTTTTGTGGCCTGTTAGTATTCCAATTGCTGCACTTGAATTTCTATCCTTGCTGTTCCACAGCTCTGTATATCTGATCAGCTTTTATTAACGAGTCAACATTGCGATGCTATTATCTCTTCGGTAATGTTACGGTCTATTCAAATGGTAATACAATTCATCCTTCATTGCATTTTATCTGCTTTCTCGGGTTCGCAGGTAGAATTAGCAGTGTGGTCTTTGCTCCTTCTGCGCATTCTTGCAGCCTAAGCAAATTCGCTATTACGGCGATGTGTAACCAGCCACTGGTCAAAATTTGCATTGTTACCATTTCGCGAAATAAAAATCTGTTTGTTGTAACGCTGTCCTCCCTCTGCTCTCTGGCATTGTCAACTCAGCGGAGTATAAAACAGAACACCGAGGCCTGCTAGACCGGAGTGTATCAGGCACAGCGCACTGCCCATTTTATAGGTCACAATCTATCATCTCTTGTTGTAAGTTCCTGAGTCGACTCAAGCCACTTGCCCTGGACAGATTTCAAATCTACTTGCGGTTCGCACCTGCGAGCTGTTGTCGCGCTCCGTCACCTAGCAACCCCTGTGATGATGGTGCTCTGCTTTCATCAGTTTCCGGCATGACTCAGCCGTGCTACCGTCGGCCGGGTAGCAATCCGTGTCATACAGACAGAGGTCTCGAAATTGTGTCACGTTCTTCGGCTGCGGACTGCTAGAGTGCACCCTTGTAGTCAGCCATTTCGCCTCCGTAACAAATTTCTAAACTTATTTCGTTATGCTCCCTCCTATTAAACGGCGTATTGCACACGTCTTTGCTTACAAAAATGCTGGGTATGGCATTCCGGTAACTCAAAATGACATGGAGAAGGCAGCCGAGGTCTGTACTATGCGTTCACTCTCCTGGAAGCGCTGCTGTATCACTGAAGGTGGAATCATTACATTTAGTACCACTTCACCTAACTTTGTTCTTGAACGTTAAACTACTGATCTTTCTTTATGTGATAAGCTGCTGACTGGCGGTGCAAACCAACATTATCAATAGTGCGCCGGTACGTAGTATCGCCGCTTCGCTGCTGCGCAAGCACCAACAGTCGCCCATGCGCTAAGGATACTGCGTTGGTCGCCCGGTTGCCTACACAAGCTCGAACTCGCGCCCTCGGATTACAAGGCAGTCTTGTGATGCCTTAGACAACTGACCAACCGGATGGTCCGGCCCGTGATATATAAATATAAATATATATATATATACATATATATATATATATAATTATCCTTTTCTCACCAGACGCAACTCCCAAAATAATAATTCACTGCTCCACAAAACTTCTAGCACAACGATTGAATTAGAGAAGGAGAACAAGTTGCCATTTTTTGATGTACTGGTCACTAGGACTCACGACGGATCTCTGCAAACGTGCGCTTATCGGAAGAAAACGCATACGGACCAGATATTAAACTACCACAGCAACTACCCGATGAATCACAAGAAGAGCTGCATTCAAACCCTGTTCAAAAGAGCGGAAACGCACTGCAGCACAGCCGAATTGCGGAAACAGGAAGGGAAGCATGTATACCAGGTGTTTAAAAGCAACGGTTATCCGAGAAACTTCATCAGAAGAAGCCTAAAGAAACGAACGTCTCATCATCAACAACAACAACAGCAGCAGCAGACACCTGAGCAAGCAAACAAACGAATAGTGCTCCCCTACGTAAAGAACGTCTCCGAACTAACAGGAAGATTGCTACAGTCACATGGGATCTCTGTGGCTCACAAACCAAGTGCTACCCTAAGGAAATTGATCTCAAGACCCAAGGGAAAAGTCAATCAAGCCGACCAATGCAATGTCATCTATCAGCTAAAATGCAGCGACTGCGGTAAAATCTACGTCGGACAAACTGGAAGGAAGCTTTGTACATGAATCACTGAACACAAGGCAGCCGTCAGAAGACATGATCCGCACTCATTGGTTTCTGTGCACGAAGATCAAGAAGGTCACCATTTCGATCTGGAGCATGTTAAGATCTTAGCACATTGAAGTACAAAACACGCCAGGGAGTTTTTAGGAGCCTGGTACTCCACTACGAATTCAATCAATCGACACATCAAACTGGACGCAGTATGCGCAACCCTACTGGCGAAAGACCGCCAACTCAATCGATTGAATCCGGTGGAACGTGTGGCTGGCCAACCAGAACTGACGGCAGACTCGCCCACAAGCGCAAGCAGACAAAGGCCACGAAACACAAGGTCAAAGGTCACTTGCCCATCAATCAGGCTGAAGGCGGATCGAAATCCCAACCAATAGGATTGCTCGCCTCCACGGGCAACCACCGCGGTATAAAAACGCACGCACCCCACGCTCAGCGCACTCTTACCGAGGCTCCTCTACGCTATTCTACGCTACTGCACGCCACTCAACTACGCACTGATGATGTCACCTCGATTGGTGACGAAACGTTTTCAACCAAATTGCCAAGCTCAGCGAACAGTTCAACTGCCATCTGATCAGCTTTTATTAACGAACCAACATTGTGATGTTATTGTCTCTTCGGTAGTGTCATGGTCTATTCAAATGATATTACAATTCATCCTTCATTGCATTTTATCTGCTTTCTCGGGTTCTCAGGTAGGAGTAGCAGTGAAGTATTTGCTCCTTCTGCGCACTCTTGCAGCTTAAGCGAATCCGCTATTACGGCGATGCGTAACCAGCCACTGATCAAAACTTCTATTGTTACCATTTCGCAAAATACAAATCTGTTAGTTGTAACGCTGTCCTCCCTCTGCTCTCTGGCACTGTCAACTCAGCGGGCTATAAGTAAACCGAAGCCTGCTAGTCCGGAGTGTATCAGGCACAGAGCACTGTTCATTGTATAGGTTACAATCTATCATCTCTTGTAAGTTCTTTAGCTGACTCATGCCACTTGCCCTAGACAGATTTCAAACCTACTTACCTTTCGCATCTGCAAGCTGTTGTCGCGCCCTATCACCTAGCGACCCGTGTGATGATGGCGCTCTGCTTTCATCAGTTTCCGGCATGACTCAGCCGTGCTACCGTCGGTCTGGTAGCAATCCGTGTCATACAGACAGAGGTCTCAAAATTGTCACGTTCTTCGACTGCAGTCTTCTAGAGTACACCCTTGTAGTCAGCCATTTCGCCTCCTTAACAAATTTCTTTCTAAACTGGCTTCATTATGCTCCCTCCTATTAAACGTCTTTGATTTTATAAATGCTGGGTATGGCATTCCGGTAACTCAAAATGACCTGGAGAAGGCAGCCGAAATCTGTACTACGCTTTCACTCTCCTGGAAGCACCGCTGTATCACTGAAGGTGGAAGCAATACATTCAGTACAACTGCACCTAACTTTGTTCGTGAACGTTAAACTACTGATCACTCTTCATGTGATAAGCTGCTGACTGGCGGTGCAAACCAACATTATCAATAGTACGCCGGTACGTAGCAGCGACGCATCGCTGCTGCGCAAGCACCAACAGTCGCCCATGGGCTAAGGATACTGCGTTGGTCCCCCGGTTGCCTACGCAAGCTGGAACTTGCACCCTCGGATTACAAGGCAGTCTTTTGAGGCTTTAGGCGACTGGCCAACCGGATGATCCGGCCCGTGATATATATACTCAATACTAATGTGATGTAATATATGCGTGACTCACAGTAGCCAAAAACCGACAAATTCGCGATCTTGTTACTGCCGAGTAGGCGTTGCCTAGATTGAACGGTTGTGAAAAGTGCATCCAGGAGTGCATTGAGCTACCGAACCCAGGTTGCTATTAAGCATGCCTTGTGTCAGACTTCTTCAAACTTTCATCATTGGCCGCTCGATGTACAGAGGGTGGCTGATTCACTTCAGGTCCGGCGCTACATGTTTGCATAGTTGTCTGTATGTGCTCTTCGGTGCGCGGAATTGGATCATCACGTAATGTTTTACGTCTTCGTTCGCCGGGTTTATGCTGGATCACTCTGCAACACGTTTCTTCGTACCTCATTATACCAACCACGATTCAATCGGTTTGATGCACTGCTTCAAAATTGTTGTAGCTCGAATGTAATTGTTGTTTCTCATATGGCGCACAATTAGGAAAATAACCAGCCTTCTAGTTGCCCCGGAACTTTTTCTCTCCACTTCTCATATCATCCGTCTTCTCCATTCTAGACATGCCGAAGCCGGCGACCATGAAAAGTACGGCTGGCCAACTACAGCATACGGAGTAGCCGCGGTAGCACAGAGAAAGGCTTCGTATATACTGGGGGACTCCATCAAGAATGACCCTCGGCACATAGTAATGAATTCGGTACGTAGTCTGCATAATCACTATTAGTTAATGCAGATTTTATTGTTTGCTGTCGGTTTTTCGTTATTCACAAATTCGACGAGGATCACAAACTACGGTCACCCACCTTTGGATACCTTCGGCTCAATTGGACATTTAATCCTTGTCATTGTTCCTTATGTTGCTGAAATCGAGTCATTTTATTATGCGATTTTCTATTCTGCAATTATGTTTTTTCTCAGGTACTTTAGAGGAAGTAAATCACGTTCTCTTTTTACTGCGCACACTTTGATGAAGCGGTTGCCTGCTCTCGTCACATTTTTCTCCGCTCCTACATGTGATAAATGACCCGATCTCTTGGCAAGCTTCTTTCATCTGGCGCCTAGAGCGTCGTGCTCTTCAGTGATCGCTCGTTTCTAACGATTGATATATACGGATCATTAATCGTCTATGCTGGCTTTGCAGATGAGAGCGTATTGCTGAACTCCACCCGTTACTGTCAAGTGATAAGCCTCGTGACTTTTTAACAGACCGTTTCAAATGTCTGTACGGTCTAGCCTGGTTGCATTGCGTTCTCATGGCTGTCCATCCCGGATCTCATTGTGTGTTGTGTATGGATACTTTTGGTGGGAGTAAGCTTTGCGACCTAAGGACGGATAAACAATGCAACTGACAGGTGTGCCTGTTCGGTTCAGCTCTGTCCTGTTAGTTCGTGTACACCCATTCTCTACAGCATTATTGATTTTGCTGTAATCCTACGCGTAAACTCTTTTATTTTTTGAACATGTTTTGCATGACCGTTTTGTGCCGCATCTCTTCATTATTTAATTGAGCTTGACCTTTGTCACCGTGGGAGCTTAGGTTACAACGATTCCGTGTCCGGTAGCCGAGTGGCCTGTACGCCTGGCTTGCAGTCATAAGGTCACTGGCTCGAATACACTTAGGGGCGGACGTTCTCGCGATATACTCAATCCACACGCGACAACGAATTGCCGCTGCGGCGTACAACTGACACATTATTGTTATTGTTAAGAAATTCCCACTCCAAACGCTGCATTCAACCGCCGGTTTTGCACCCCTGTTTATACTCTTCAGGTGGAGACAACTGAGTCGCGATCCGAACTCCTTGCGTAGAGAAATGCTTGACTGACACGCCTTCTCCCCTACATCATGGAGTTCTGCAAACAACGCCTGCCATAACAATTGGAAACTCGTTGTTGAGTTTTGTCGCACCTTTCATTATGTTTATGCATTGTAACCCGTAGTCTCAGTTGCTATCAATTCTTTGTGACTCGTATCTAAGGCAAACACATGCTCGTTGTTACGCGCTGTCACCACTGTCCTCGATTGTCTTACCCGTATACTAATGTTTACATCCAATGTGTCACAATGTACGCTTTTCTCATTTCCCTTCACAGTGCTGTCCAGGTTACGTTGCCACTGACATGTCTAGTCACAAGGGCACGAAGACGATAGAACAAGGTAAATTCGTCAGTTTACTTGTTTATGAGCAGATTCTCCATTTCGCTTGTCTATCGTACATCTGACAACGGATTTTGCTTTTAGTATTATCCCTTATTCAACCCCTTGGATTAATCGGCCAAATAATGTGGTGTCACAACTGTTGCCGTTGCCAATTTTCTACTCGTCTCATGCATATCTTTACTTGATTACCAAGCGGATGTCACATGCTCCGCAACCAAATATCCCGTAGTATCTTGCACTTCCAACTTCCACTTGGTATGTCAGATTGGTGCGCAAAAATCGCTGGATCCCACTCCATAGTCAGAATAAATCTATCTTTTCCCGCGAATCGCATTTGCAACAACAATTGATTGGCTTAGTATCTATAGTTTTCACATCAGTTGATACCGGGACGGTAACTAGACCTGCCCACGGTGTCGGAGAGGCTGAATAAATTCTTTGCAAATAGATCTTAACAAACAGCCCCACGTATACGTATCGCTTTGAATGTTGCATCAATGTTATTAATGCACAATGTCAGAAGACACCGTGTCGCCGTTTCACTGCATGTCCTCACCGATTTCAGGCCAGCAATACTACCTAGCAATGGCGAACGACCCACAGACCATATTACCGTCATCTATAGATGGAAATTATCCGTTCAGAATTATTGGCTCGTTTGTACCACCGGTGTAACTTCCTATCATGCCTTAGTGTGTGACCATGTATCGCTCACTCTCCGGCCTTAGCGACGCAACCGACTTCGCTTGACGCACCAATACGAGGATCATGTACTTCGGTGTGGTGATATTAAATCTCATCTGTTGTCCCCAGTCTTCCATACACATCTGTAAACATTGTCTCTGAAGGTCGGATCGTGCGTGCATATCTGATGCATGGGCTCCTAAGATTAAGGCCTGCCAGTTGGATCGCTTGTGAAGCCCACTTCATCGTATCCCCACCGCTCTGAGTTGATATCTGAGTTGCAGCCATAGCCATCGCGACTGTATTGCGCATTAACGTTGCACTGTAATCTGCGCGCTTATATGCCATATCAAACGGCAACATATGACACTTTTTTGTCAACAGAGGTTCCTTAAGCCGTTTTGGATAGAGTTTAGGAATGGTATAAACGACTTTAAACCACTGGTTCATCTGGACTTGATGTCCAGTGTCAACCAAGTGTTGTAAAACCGAACTGTTGATGGATTTTACAGTACCTTTTAATAGTGACGCGGGACAGTGTTCAGCGATTCTTTTGGACAAGCACCTGGTCGTATGTCCAACATACCTAGTGCCACAGGTGCAGGTGAACTGTTTTAAGACAACGATTCGGACCGAACCGGGAGTTCATCCTTTAATCGTTGAAGAATCAATGGTCTTGTTTCGGCAAGTAGTTCTAGATTGGCGGCTGGAAATGTCTTGGCCATTGCCGTCGAGACTTTGTCGTCGTCAGATTTACCAAAACTAGCCAGTTCAGCACTTAGATGCATTCCTTCTCAGGATTTTCGTGATTAGTCGAGCAGTGGTCGATGGCTTGTCTACCATGATAGTTTGTCCTCTTGAACCTAGTGGGAACGCTTCAGTCAAAGTTCCACGCTGAGGGAGATCCATCACTACTCAGACGCATGGACCCATCGAACTTCGTCCATCCTTACCGAAAGTTGACAACATTACTTACTGGTGGTTGGATCAGCTACTTTATTCGACATTATTCGGTACAAATACTGTCTGCTCGTACCATAGGTCTTTTCTCCCTATTTCCATGCGTACCTCTGATACCTCCGTATATTGTGCTTACCCCTCATCATGTTACAACCATAGTTGCCCTGCTGCTTAGGGATGTAGTTAGTGATAAGACGATATCCGGATGCAATATTTCGACGCCATATACAACCATCCGTGATTAGGTTTCCTTCATGTTGTTGATTACATGCTATTGAATTAGTCCGCTAGCTCGATTGTGACTTTCATTGACTTGCGTCATGATTAAAGTCATCATCAACAGCAACACTTCAACCATTTGAACTGGTGCTTCGCTGCCGTACGGTCATAATGAGCTACGAAACGAAGGATAATAAGAATGAGAGAAAGAGGGCTTACCGGGAAAGCTTAATACCCTATGCATATATTCAGGGTCATTGCGCCTACACCTTGTCCACAACATGCCACCACAAACAGCTGGTTATCATGCAAAGGTTAGGCGACATCGGCGAGACAACTCCCTTGCCGCTTTCACTGCCCTACGTGATAATCATCCATTACCCCCCAGATGACTCAGCATCAAACACACTTTAAACAGGGAGTCCGACTACGAGACGACAGTAGACAAGCCACTGGTGTGGACTACGAGCCAGGTCCTGTAAAGTCTTGAGGCAAGCACAAGGCGGGTCACATGGACTCCAGCCCGGAAGGCGAGACGAAACAACGGCATCCAGTCTGGTCGTCAGTGACTTCATTTCACGCTGCCAAGTCAACTTCTGTCCACTTGGAGCTTTTCTCCACCCTACACCTGACAGACTAAACAAAGCCCTCCTAGGTAAGCAGTGACCAAGCATACGTAGTAAGTGCCCAAGCCAACGCAACGTATTAATTGCTATGTGTTGTTCTAAAGAGCTAGCACGATTATCACTGCCTAGTACTCGCTTACGCCCATCATCGTTGCGGACACGCTGGTGCCATCCGACACCAGCAATGTTTTGTAGACCACGATGATCAACAACTTGAAAGCGTCTCAGGTCTTCAGAATGAAGGGTCTAAGTTTCACTACCATTAAGCAAGACCGCTATCCTTGTGGCCTTGTAAACACAGTCTTTCAGACGGAGGAAAACTTTTTTGGCGCCACAGAAGTCGTAGATTCAAGAAGGCAGTTCTAGCTTTTACAATAAGTGAACCAACTTTAGTGGTTATACGCCCACCGTTGCTGATACAGCTGTCAATGAATTGATCAGATACATCGAGTTCTTCGCTACCTACGCTTTAGAGGTCATCAACTCGCTGGTAGTCCTGCAGCAACACTTTACACTTTAAAGATGCGAAGTGCATATCAAATAATGGGACCACTCTAGTGAGGCTATTCAGGGTTGATTGCGCTCCCTCCAACGTCGGTAAAGGGAAGACAATATCATCTGAATAATCATGGTCAACCAGCATTTCAACATCTGCATCATGAGGCTCCGTATGGTAACACTCCAAGGTGGAGTCCACGACGAACTTAACCAAAAATTGGGAAATTTGGTGACCCTGACGAACGCCACTTGTTATCGGAAACGTTTCCGACGGGACACCGTAGACCCGGACTGGGCCTGTAGTGTTCCAGCACAGGGGATGCAAAATGTTCACATCACATGGGAACATCTTTCTGCTCAAATGTTTTGAACCGAATGCATCGATCAGCTGAGTCAAAAGCCCTCTTATTGTCGAGGAGCACTGCTATTGTCGGTCTACTGGATGTGGAGCGCTGCTCGGGCATCTACCGCAGATTAAATATATGGTCTCTACTACCTCATTCTGAGTGCAGTGCTTCTTGCTCTTCCCTGATCCGGGATTCCCGTTCCACAGTGAGGCGACGAAGGAGAATTGAGTCCCAACACCCATCCAAGCACGATCTCACATCCGATGTGTACTACGAAATTGACAAACCTTTAGTATGCGGACGACACGGTCCTTTTAGAATGTCTTCCAGCTGCCATGCATATCCCACATATTTCCATCTGTGCCTTGCGTCCTCACAATTCAAAATGCTACTAATTGAATGCGTCTCGTTTTTCCCCACAGTATATGCGCCGGCGTATTTTGTCTGGTTCGATCACCGAGAGTGCAAGGATCGGTAGACAATGTCCCTTCGAAGTCTCGACTATTTTTGAGTACGACATAATGCTAGCTTGTTTTTCAGGTGTCGACTGTAATACACTGCGGTGCGGCAGATTTAGCCACGTGGACTTGATGTGGGAGCTTCACACAACGACATTAAGAACTTGGCAATTGATGGTCAAAGGGCCATCAAATGTTCAGCAACAAGCCATCCTATGGCTTGCAAGATGATGATTCACTGAAGTTGGAGCTTCTACCTAGGTTTCATCATGTTTCTCTGATTCCTGTCCTTCGCCTGTACAGCCTTTAACTGGGTACTTCCGTGGAGACCAATCGATGGTTGGTAATGTGTCAGTGTTTCGTTCTTGGTGAAAAAGTCTTTCAAGCCAACTTAGTGTTGGCTTTGGATACCCGGATGGGTGCCTTTTTAGCATTTTGCTTTATCAGCTGCAGATGAATCAAAGTTTCAATCAAAAATCCCAACTTCTACAAATGTACTGCACTATTTTCAGTCAAGCAAACACACTCGCCTTCTCAAGCAACGATCGCACTTGACTGAACAGAATCCTCTGTATTTATATCCACTCGACAGGGTGTCGTTTTGCTAAACATTCCACAATTGGCCAAAAGCAAAGAATCGCCGATCGTGCGCAATACCTCGATCTACTGTTTACAATATGACTAAAGTAAAACGGTTCCAGTGGCCTTGGAAGTAGTTTGAACAATGAAGTTGCCAAAATATACCTGCAGCAGATAGCGTCTAAGTGTCGTTCAACGAAAAGGTAATGGCCGCTTTAAACGTTCCTGGTTTGAGTACATCAACAGTAACTGCAGGCGTATGGGAGATTTCTAGCAAAAATTGGTTTCGTATATGTTATTACTGCGGTAAGGTACTTGTCTTGACGCAGAAGCTCATTTCAATAATTCTGTATACATGATGGTTATGATCTGGGGAATAAAAGTATGATTTTCGGATATCGGTGGTCCAGCATGGCTCCTATCAGGTCTCTTATGACACCATTTACAGGCCACGATTTTTCACATTTCTGGATCTGCATTCGTTTTTTACATACTCAGCGAATTCGCCTACTTATCTAGATTCATTCATAGTAATGTACATTTGGTTGTCTTTTCTTTGGGTCACCAGGCTTAATTCTATCGCTTGTCTCACTCTTTTCCGCCTAGGTGCTGACACTCCGTTTTATTTGGCTACTCTTCCAATCGGTGTGAAGGAACCGATAAACGAGTTCGTCTCCGACCGTCGCATTATTCCCTGGTCAAAAGATGTGGAGGTTAAATTCTAAACTTATGCACCACCCGCTGCAGTCCACCGATGAACACAACAGTTTTCTAATTACTTTCTCGTTGCGCCACTTGATTTCTGTGGTTATTCTTTAAGCTGCTCATCGTATTGCGCCAATTCATCCCCCATTGGACTTTCGCTGTTCCGTGTTTTTGCTTCGTCTGTTGACCCTTGGGGCTTCTCGTCTCCAACTACTTAACAATGATTGTCTTAGTCTTGCTTCTCTCTGTGGCTCGATTATGCGGTGCATAGGAATGTTAGTGTGATCCCCACTGCAGAAGAGAATGCCGCCTATTTTTGTAATCCGTTCAGAAGTGTGCAAATGTAACCATTGCACCCTTCTACACCTCATTCCTCTACGGTGTTGACCCCGTTCCGAATTCTTTTCTCCGATATGCACATATTCGTGTGCGTCAATTGATTCCTTTACAGGCATCGTTGAACTTCAGTTCAACACGTAGCTGTTTGCTGCTTTCTTAGAAAACAGGTTGAGCTCTAATAGTCTGTAGGGAATTTGTCGTGTGATCCTTCTTCGGCGTTTGTTCTTTACCATATCTATTATTATAGTATATTGTTCAACACTTACCGATCTACAATTGTCAGTGCCACAACACAGTTAACACAATCAAACGGTGAAAACAGGTAGTTAATAGTTGAGTTAATAAGGTTTCATAGGTTTATGCGTTGTATGGTCAGAGAGCTTCCCGATTGCACACACCGATGAAGGCGGTTGACTTAAGGGACTCCACCGCAACCTTTGTTTTTAAGTATCTGACCCGCAAGATAGCGGGAGTGATTAACGAAAACCGTTGACAGCCGGGTTGCTCATTCGCCTTCTTTTTGTTGGTAGCAAATCCCAAAGAAGCAGGTGGCCGACAAATTTGTTCATCTGCCCTCCCTTAGGTACTCACCTCTGATTACAGGAGTTGTCAGTGACCCCATAGCCGGTCACATTGACTTCGGCACAGCGCCGTACGAGCTCTTGTGATATTTGATGACGAACCAGGTGACCAGCCCAGAAATCCCTATGCTCTGAGACGCCACCGCTGATTGTCCGCGACTGCTTGTGTTCAAGAACGGACCTTGTAGCATCTAAACACTCATGGATTTCGTAATGCAAAAGTGCACATAAACTTGGGGAGTAGTGCTTGTCGACGCAACGTGAAATATAATGTTCTCTTACCATGATTTTGTTTCACTAGATAACTTACCTTTGTCTCTCATTCCTCCTTCCTACTTTGTCACATTCTTCGGTATTACTCGAATTGATGACACACCGGTGACATTTGAAAATGTTGGCACATCGATAGGTTGGATAAATGTGATCTATCTCTGATTTTCTCTTTGTCTATGCTATTATATTCTTCGTGTTATTCAGATGATGGCCCGTTTTTGACTTATGAAAGCATGGGTACGTCGATGAATACGATAGATGGGATTTGTCATCGACTTTTTCTTCATCAAGACTGCTTCTTATTGTGCCCTTACTTAGCTCGAAGACCCACTGATAGTGTTTGAAAACGTGCGCAAATTGATGAGTTGGATAAGCAAGCTTTTTCCTTAACCTTCATATAGTGCTTCCTATTCCTTACACGGCTAGTTGAATGGGTTGAGTGCCTGCAAGAAATGGGCCTATTGAAAGGGTGAACTATTGATGTCATGCAACTAACCCACTCAACTTTTGTATGCAATTTCATTTGCCTGTATTATCATATCTTACCCCTCGTGTGTGTGTGTGTGTACGCCGTGACTATTAATTGATTTTTTCATGACGAAGTCAGTTCTTAGTTTACCGGTTTGCCGTATTCTCATGTGTGCTCACACACTCACTATTTATAAATTATTGTTATATACCAATGTTATGAATAGTTTAATCACATTTCCTATGTGCATATTGTCACACCCTCTAATACACTGTTGTTTTGTTTTCTTTTCCAACCATCTGTCTAAACGTATCTGAACATTTTGCAATTGTCGGATTTTGAAACAAAATCAGTGGCACCAGAATCAATGGAATTGGAATCACAAGTGTTCTTATATAACAGTTTGTAAAATCATTCTGCATTTCCTTTGTACCTTATGATCGGACCAGCTTAGCTGGGCCGTACTTCACCTAGTTGAGAATGTACCAATTCGACAGCGGCTGGATGACGTGGGATTATTCAGGAGATGATGCTCGTGCCTGTATTGATATCTGTATATGGTAACCGTAAAAGTCTACTCGTGGGAACGCAGCAATGGCTCGTAGCCAAAACGGCACAAACACAGAACAGTACACTCTGAGTTGCTATCACGCACCGTTCGTTGTGACCGGAATCGTGTACTACGCATTGGTCATGTAGCTGAGAGTATTTCGCCAATGGGTGTGGGCGAGCGATTGACATTCACGCGTGTACGTATGGTTAGCCAGCGATGGGTATGTGAGCATCCGGCTAATGTCGGTGCTTCACATGCCTCAGCAATCCAGTTCCAAGTGACCCAATCATGTTTCCCACTATCAGTTATGTTCTAGGTGCAAACTCGACTAGTCTCAGCAGAGAATGTTCCCAACAGCTTGGATAATCACCGTCCGGTCTTGTTAGCATCGAATCGTTTCAAATTTTGTGAGATTTCTACACTTGCCTGGATCATAATAAAGTCGCGATTCAGAGGTGTAGCGTATTTTTAAGTCTGGCATTGTCACTATGCACAGTGAGCGTTTCCCGTCTGCATTCACTAGATCTCAGCGAACAAATCACTAGATCGTAAACATTCCGTCATTCGGCCTCCTTGGCACAACCAGTACGGCTAGGTAATCAGTATTCTATTCAACACACTCCAAACGACTCGACCATCGAAGTCGGATTGTTTAATAATGTAACCGGCTGATCTATTGTTTGTGTCATAAATGCGGTTTTTTTTCATCAGACCACTGTTTATATGCAACTGCCCTCAACTTGCGGCCTTTCGTTTACACTATAATTATCAAGGCCCTGGCCTCGCTGTGACCCAATCCGCGCTTCTCACGCGCATTATGCTACGATGTATAGCTTGTTCTCTGGAAAATGTAATCAAAGAACGGTAGTTTACTTCTGTCCTGCTAGTCTCATTGACCACGGTACCGGCACAGCGTCACATTTAAAACAGCCTAAAAAGGTCGCCTTCATGAACGTGAGGGGCGATTTTGCATCAGTTCATTCCAAATGTGTATGATTTTGGTTGCCTTTAAAGTGAAGGTCAACTGAAATTCCGCTACCCTCTGTGCTTGTTAATGCTTATTTGAAGCTGTACAGTGAGTTCCCGATTGCATCCGGTCTGCGTCAGGGTAGCTACATCTCCTTTTCCTTTAACCTTGCAGCCAGAACTGTCAGGGGTAGATATATACCTTCATCCTATTGTGTGCTGGCTTTGTTAGGCGAAAAACTGACGGGCTAAGTTTACATAGACACAGTGACTTCCTTGGGGTCAGACACGAATTCCTTGGTAAACGACGACTTGGTTCGATGCGTACTTCAAACTGCAACGCAGTAATGCAAGACTAATGTTAATGTGCCACTCACTGTCGTCGTCGCTCACATTCCACCCGAAGCGGTTGTTTGTTGTGATCATCTTAGTACCTATGTTTGCGCTCCTGGTCAGTTCCCCGGGGTATAAGGTGCAGCTTTCTGACAGACTTTATTGGCACGCATACCTCGGTCCAACCTCAGGCTACGATGCTTATATCCACTCATACTGACTAACGAAATCCGAACTTCCAAGCTTGGCAAAAATACAACCTTAGAATTACCCAGATGACGGTATTCGTGCTCAGTTAGATACTTGATTATGGTACACCAACTCCCACATAACCCAACCGTGCTTTTCACTACGCGCTGTGTTCTAAGCGCAAAATTGCCCAACTTGTCGATGGAGGCTTACAAAAGTTCGAATAACCACCGTTTGACCCGCTAGCACTGCGACGTTTCCACGGTAATGTCTTTATTCGCAGGCCTAGTGTGCTTTCGCATCCCGTATTTTCGCTCTAGTCAGCGGGTCTTTCTCACTGGTATCCAACTGACTTCAGAGAGCCGTTGGTTCAGAGAGGTGTAAACACTATCATTTGGCCTCTCGTAACACATCCAGTGCAACGAGTTACACAGTATCAAAAACTCTCCAAACGGCTCGACTATTGAAGTGTGATTGTTTATTGGTCGCAACTGAACGGTCTATCGTTGATAACGTGTAACGTATCATATATACGTTTTTTCCATCAGACCACTGTTTATGTGCAGCTGTCCACAACTTGCGGCCTATTGTTTACGAGAATGAAAGTCGGATTCCGCTACCGAGTGTTTCTTTGCTTAGAAAACGGTCTTACGATGTCTTTAACTGGTCAGCTTTTCTCCAGTGATACCTAGATTAGGTACTCGGTGTTCAATAAACTAATGTGGTCACTGACTTAGTGGCCAGTCGGAAGTAGTAGACCATCGCAGCCTTTAGATTTTCTGATCTATCATCCCTTTACCTAACACAATGTGCATCACATCTGATTGGCAATGCGGCCATTACTTATCGTCTGTTAATTGCGTCTTGCGCAATCCACGGTCATGTGGTAACATAGCCAGTAATCCAAGAATGCTTCACTCACGTATCCCGTCTGTTATCGGCAGCATATGACAGGTTACTGCCTCAATGTGGATGGTAGGCATACAGATTATAGCAGTAGTATGTAGGAAATGTCCAGACAAATCAAACATGGATGAATGCGAAGGATTCGAAATGCTTCGGACGTTTCTGTTACGTCCGGTGCATTTGTCTGTTTGAGCTCTTCAGGTAACTGGGTGGAGACAAAAAAGCGCGTAGATACTACAGTGAACCCCACCGTCAACGATTGACGCAACGGTTAGCCGCCCGTTGTTAGGTCTTCAGAGTTCCTTATTTACACATGGATTAAGACGCATCACAAGGTGGAGTGCGATTTAAGCTGTGGTAAAACTCTGTCCACTGGAGTATTTGGGCTTCAAGTGGCATAGATAAACTATG